TCGTGCATAATATTGAAAAACTGGAAATAACCAAACGTCCATGGATAAATAAACTGTGGTATATGCACACTATAAGTGATACTACAGCAATTAAGTTAAGTGCCCCAGAGCCACATGTAACAACATGGACAGAGCTCAAAACATAAATGGAGAAGACTCACCCCACTGAATCTGTAATGTTACATTTATACAAAAATAATAAAAAGAAAAGAAAAAAGATCATGTTAAGATTAGATATGTCTCAGAGTGGTAGTTGCATAGGTCTTTGTTATATTATGATTTTGGGGGGATTGCGACTGAGGTGGGTTTCTTTTTTTGCATTCTTTTTTATTGTAAAATATACGTAATGCAAAATTTACCATTTTAACAATTTTAAGTGTATAACTCAGTGGCATTATATTTGTGTTGTACAGCCGTCACCACCTTCCCTCTCTAGACCTTTTTTCATCTTCCCAAACTAAGGCACCATACCTGGTAAGCAAGGGAGTGTTCCCTCCTCCCTTCAAGCCCAAGCAACGACCACCGTTCTATTTTCTGTCTCTATAAATTTGACCACCTCAGAAACCTCACATAAATGGAATCATGTAGTATTTGTCCTTTTTGACCGACTGGTTTATTTTACTTAGCATAAAGTCTTCAAGGTTCATCAACGTTATAGCATCAATCAGAATTTCCTTCCTTTTCAGGGCCAAATAATATTCCCATTTTATGTATACACCACATTTTGTTCCTCCGCTCATCTGTCAGTGGCTACGAGGGTGGCTTCCACCTTTTAGCTGTTGTGAATAAGCTGCTGTGAATACAGGTGTGCAAATATTTGAGTCCCTAGTTTCAATTCTTTTAGGTATATACCCAGAAGTGAAATTGCTAGATCATATGGTAATTGTTTTTAATTTTTTGAGGAATATTATTCTTTATTATACATTTGAAATGGTCCACAATAAAATAAGTAACTGTCTTAAAATGTTTCATGATGAGGGGCGCCTGGGTGACTCAGTCAGTTAAGCGTCTGACTTCGGCTCAGGTCATGATCTCGAGGTTCTCAGGTTTGAGATCCGCATTAGGCTCTGTGCTGAGAGCTCAGAGCCTGGAGCCTGCTTCAGATTCTGTGTCTCCCTCTCTCTCTGTCCCTTGCTCGCACTCTATCTTTCTCTCTTTCAAAAATAAACATTAAAAAAAAAGTTTCATGATGAGAAGAGGTTCTTAATAACAAGTTGTGTTTTCTACCATCTTGAAGTAAGAATGCCCTTACACACATCTGATATTCTTTGGGAAGTCCTTGACATTGGTTCCCCCAAATTCATAGCACCTTGAAGGTTAATCTGCACCCATTCTGATACTCAAGCTCTACTTGCCAGTCATGGCTTCATGTGTGTGTGGAACCCATTCTGGCCAGTGAGACGGGAAAAGAAGTGTGTATGTTGAGGGGCACCTGGGTGGCTCAGCCGGTTGAGCATTCCACTCTTAATTTCAGCCTGGGTCATGATCTCAGAGTTCTTGGATTAGAGCCCCGCACTGGGCTCCACACTGACAGTGTGGTGCCTGCTTGGGATTCTCTCTCTCTCTCTCTCTCTCTCTCTCTCTGCTCCTCTCCTGCTTGCACCTTCGCTCTCAAATAAATAAATAAACTTGAAAAAAAAAAAAGAAGTGTAGGAGAAGGTGACCTCATTTCTGGAGGTGGCTGTGATAGCTGAGATGGCTGGAAACACTTCGGCCATCTTGTCACCAGCCTGAGGGAGGAACCACACCCCGAGGGCAGCACTGAAAGGTGGGAGGGGCTTACGCTGCAGGAGTGTGCTGGTTTGGGTTGTGCCATGAGTCACGCAGGTAGGGGACTTGCAATAGACTGTCCTATTATTCCAGCTGCTTGAGGGGAAGCTATTCGTTGAGGTTAAAAGCATTTCCACTGATTTAATAATTTCTTTTTTTTTAAATATATGTTTTTGTAATGTTTTATTTATTTCTAGGAGAGAGAGAGACAGCGTGAGCAGGGGAGGGCCAGAGAGAGAGGGAGTCACAGACTGAAACAGGCTCCAGGCTCTGAGCTGGCAGTCAGCACAGAGCCCGACGCGGGGCTCGAACCCATGAACCGCGAGATCATGACCTCAGCGAAAGTCGGACGCTTAACCGACTAAGCCACCCAGGTGCCCCTAATAAATAATTTCTAATGTGAAGAATTAAACAAGTAATATGTATGTATTCTCATTTAATAAATTAATATTATTGAGTAAAGTTAAAAATTCTCCTACAACTGTCCCCATCCCATTTTCCTCCTCTACAGGAAAAATGTTTTACATACATATGATAGTCTGTGTACATTACACACGTTTTTGTTTTAAGAAAATTGTGGCCATACTATATAGAGATCACTCTTTAACTTGTCTTGTTCACCTAAAACTAAGCTTTGAAAAATGTCGCACATCAAGACTGCTTTGTTTTTAAAAGTGTTTTTATAGTTTTCCATCGTGTGGGAATATCCACATATATTTCCCCTTTTCTTTACTGATGAACATGTAAACATGCCTGCTGGGACACTGGTGAAAATACTTCTGAAGAAAAAATTCACTGGGGCAGAGTCGCTGAGTTGAAGGCTCAGTGCATTTTGAGCTTTGATAGATGTCAGCTTGCTCAGAGGCTGGCTGGCCAGTTCAGGTGCCTAAGGCAGTGAAGGGGGCAGCCTGCGCCCGAGGTACCACACACACCACGCAGAGCTGGCCTCTTCCTGCCTGCTGGCCACAGGCTGCCCTGCCCCCTAAGTGGCAACAGGTGCCATGGGAAGAATGAGAGAAATGGGGTGGGTGAGATGCTGGCCCTGGCTTCCCAGAATTTTCTTTCTCTTAGTGGCAAAAAGAAAAAACATTCAAGGCAGTTAGTGGTTCACCAGGGATGATACTGAACATATTTGATAACCCATGTCAGGATGGAGACCTTGCCTTAGAAGCCCCCTGCTCAGCCAGACATTAACCCTTTAGGTGTTAGATTTATGGAGGCTTGATGGGGGTCCCAAGGAAGGGGCTGATGCGTACAGCAGGGATGGAGGACCATACCTGTGTATATGTCCTGGTGCTGCTGTGACATTCCGAAGGGCTGTATCTCTGAGGAAGAGGCTTTCTTGCAGAATTTGAGCTGAAGGAGAAGTAAAACAGGGGTCAGCTGGGCCAAAGGCAAGCCCTGACCTTCCAGTTCCCTTCTTTCTGCACATGTCTTTGGGGTCCCTCTGTTGGGTCCCTCCTCTTCCTTGCCTGCCCAAAGAAATACACGTTGATCTGGGGCAAATGTACTGTTGGAAAGAAACACTAAACTGGTGATTTTTGAAAAGACTCCATCGAGCCCCCCAGACCTCAACTTTCTTGATTTTGTACAGCAGAGAAAAGCAGGAATCTGAACTGACCTATTTCCCCTCCACATTGGGTTGAGAGGACCAGAGAACTAACTTCAGACCCGTGGAGCCAGCCTCTGGGAGATACATGCATTTTCTATTTAAAAGTCCTTTTAACGCACCAGGACTCCGTGAGCTGAGCTCCCGGAGAGATCCTGCCTGGTGCCGTGCTGTTGGATGACCCACGATGCCAAGGCACTTGGGGACCCCACAGTAGACCCCAAGAACACTGATCAAGATCTTTCATCCCCCAAAGAAAAACGTGGAGAAACTGAGATCGGAACACAGGGGGTTGCCTAAGTCAAACAGAGATTCAGAGCAGGGGCAAAAACAGGGCGGAGTGCTGTTCAGGGGCATCACCTTTCCGGGCTCTGACAGGGGAGTGTGGCTGAGATGGGGACGAAGGAGGCTGCATAGCTCCTGGCAAACCTTAGGGTGGGTGGAAAACCCAGGGCCCACAGCGGATGGTCCCGCCTGTATAGCCCAGGACCCAGGAACGTTTCAATCATTTAAAGAGAAACACTGGAAACTGCTGAGAGGCCAAAACACCCCAGGACACCTTCCTGGTTCCCAGTTCAGGCCAACTGAGGCCTGCCCTGCCCAGTGCCTGCAGAAGGTGGGTGAGGAGGACGCCATCTTTGGTCTCCAGGCCCAGGTACGAAGGTCATTTGGCACCACCTCTCCTGCCTACCAGTCTGCAGGCAGGGCCTGGCAGCTTCTTCCCCTTTTCCCTCAAGGCCATTTGCGCGACACCCAGACGCGTTCCATAGCCTTTCTGCACAGAGGTGGCTGGCTGGCGTTGGAAACACTGAGGTCTAGGGCGTCTGAGGGAATCACGAAGGAGCAGGAAACACTCAGGTCGCCGGCCTGAGGAGGTCTGCCCTGGGGAGAAAGCCGTTTATTTTTCCCTTTAGCTCAGAGCATGAAGAGAGAGGGCAGTCTTTCCTCGAAAGGCACATAAAACTTTTCTTTCTTTCTTTCTTTCTTTTTTTTTTTACAGCTCGTCCTGAGCATATACCCTGTTCAAAGTAAGGCCCCACGTTTCCAGCACTTTCTGGCGTGCAGGTAGAACGCGAGGGCCTGAGGGAACCTGTTCCTGGGGAAGTGAGGACGCAGGGACCCCTTCGGCAGGCAGTCGACGCAGAGGCGGGGGAGGGCTCCCCCGGGTCTGAGGCCCCGTCACCTCGAGGCCCCGCGCCGCCCGGAAAGCGTTCCCGTCGCCGCCAGGCTCTCGGGAGTCGAACGCACCTGGAGGACGCTGGGTACCCGCGCCCAGAGGGCGCTGTAGATTGGCGCCCACAGTCGAAGACCGGCGCCCGGTCCTCCCGCCCCTCTCACGGGCAGCGCTCCAATATACTGGGGCAGGGCGGAAGGGGGTGCGCCCCGACCCCGCCACCAGGGAGCAGCGGGGCTGAAACGCCAGGCACAACAGCTTGTGGGGACCACAGCTCCCGAGGAAGGCGAGGTTCCGCGCGGCGGTGCGAGAGGGGGCGGGGCGGGGGCGGGGCCAGGACCCCGGGGGTGGGGCTTTCCAAGGGGCCGGGCTGGGTGGCTCAGGGGGCGGGGTCCTAGGGGGTGGGGCCTGGGGCTGGCCCCGAGACTAGGCGAGCTGGGGGTGGGGGGCTAGTTTTTGCAACGGCTAAGGGCCTGTGGGTTTATGATAAGGCGGAGCTCCGCGGGAGAGGTGAGGGCTGGAGCCGAGCCGGGAGGAGAGGAATCCAGAGGTAGAGAGCGGACTGTAGCCGGCGGATTCCGCAGCCCTCGCCAGAGACAGCCGCGCGCGGGGCATTGCCCGAGGGTGCAGCGCGCAAAGACCCGGCGGAGCCCGCCCGGAGCCCCGCGCAGTCCGTGCCGCGCGGCGTCACCCCGATCCCCGCAGCCCGCAGCGCTCCCGCCGCCGGTCCGGGCAGCATGAGGCGCGTTGCGCTCTGGCTCTGGCTCTGCGCGCTGGCGCTGCGCCTGCAGCCGGCTCTCCCGGTGAGTGCGGCTGGGGACGGGCGGGGAGCGGCGGGAAGCCGGTGCTTGCAGAGTCGCCGATGCCGCCGGCGGCACGTGGAGGGGGAGGGGAAGTGGGGACTTGTCTTCCCGCGCTAGCCCGGTGGGCCCGACCGTGACCGCGAAACAGGGGTCCCGCTCCAATTGCCTCCGCCGTCGGTGGGCGTTGCGCGGGTTCCGCCGCTACGGGCGGGGGGCTGGGGCACCCGGCACACGGGGCTCCGCGTTCAATTATGTGAATCGGCTTCACATGCGTCGGTGCCCACCAGCCTGCGGCGGCTCCCGGGGTTGCCGGTTCTCATCCAGTCACCCCGGGAACCGCAGTAGCCGGGGTCCCCGCCGGCGACCCGGGAAGATGCAGTGGCCGCGGCCACAACGCTCACCCGCAGACCCGCCGAGCCCGGGCTCCTGGTCCCTTCGGCGGAGACAAGTTTGGGAGCAGTGGGGTCGGCGCGTTGGCAGAGAAGCCCGGGCCAGGGCTGCGCGGGGGTCGTGGTGGCCGCGGAGGTGGGGTCCTCAGCTTCCCGTCGGCTGCCCTAAGGGAGCCAGGCAGAGCTGGCAGCGGGAGGTTCCGGGAAGTTGCTTCCCGAACACCAGAGCCCCGAAGGAACCCAACTTTGGGGCTGCTGAAGTTGTGTGGCCCGCGGAGGGGTGCGAGCGGGGCTGGGCACGGCCGGGGAGGGCTGCGGCTTCCACGCGAGTGGACCCCGGAATGGCTGTTCCCCTCCCCCGGCCTGGCTTTGTGCTGGAGCCGCGCGGAGGGAAGGCGGGTCCCTTGGCCCGCCCAGTGGAGCTGGGGGGAAAGAGGGACGAATGTGGAGTCCTTGGCTGGGGGAGGCCTTCGGGTAGGACTGCAGCATCTACCTTTGGCGAGGGGTGGGTCCCCTCTGAAGAGGGACCTGGCCGACAAAGAGCATCCCGAGGGCCCCCAGAAAGTGATCTCCCGCCCCCGCCGCCGTCCGCCAGCCCGCCTTCCCCAATGGGGGCGCTTTGTTCTCAGCCCCTGTAACCCTTTCCTGGGAACCGCCCCGCGGCGCCGGCCCCGCCGTGGGCCGGGACCTGGGCGGCCGCCAGGTGTCAGCGCCGTCCGCTGTGTGTCCACGTCCACCCCCAGCCCCCACACCCGCTGCTGGAGTCCGGAGCCCTCCCCGCGGGCTGGGGCGGCCATCCCCGGGGATGGAGAGGGGAGGTGTGGACGGAGCGGGGGGCTCTTTCCCTTCCGGAAGTGGCGGTCTCTCTCTACCACATCTGGACTGCTCGACTTCCCCAGCTCTCGGTGAGGGAGGCACGTGGGCAGGGAAGGATCGCAGAAGGGGGGGAGGGGGTGCCGGGTCCTCCGCGGGTAATGTGGCATCTGCACAAATCTCAGCAATGCCTACCCTCTGTAAGCGGGTCCCTCTACAATAATAGAAGCTACCAGCTATTGAGACCTTTGGGGTATTTTATAGGGTCTGGCTCAGGTGAGGTGTTTTCCAGGCTTATCTGTAAAGTGCCCCTCCAACCCCCGCCCTGCTTTCCAACCGACTGTTGTGTTTGGAACTATATTTTGAAGTACAAGGACAGGGTCCCTGATGCCTCTTGCATTGCTGATGAGTTGGAGGTGGGGGTCGAAGGGTGCCAAATCTGGGGGAGCCATGGGGACAGATGGGATTTCTGAGCTGCATCTCCAGTGCACTCCTGGCTTTCAGATCCAGGAAGTCGCATCTGGCTTCTTCTCTCTGTAGAGTTGCAGCTTGGTAGGACTCAGATTGTGCCTTGACTCACAGTTAATACTCTGGAGAAGAGAGTGGAGCTGTGTGGTTTAATTGGGTGGTCCACCTAGGGTTACCTGTCCACTCCACTCTCTACAGGCCCAAGATTGGGCCTCAGCAGAGACTGCTGAGGTGGGGTTCTCCACCTATTTCCAGCCAAAATCAGGAGTGCGGATTTGGGTTCTTTTGCTTGCCTTGGTTGAAGCTGGCATTCTTAAGAGCTGGGATCCCAGAGCGCCTGTTAACATGGGGGAGGCAGGTGGGATGGGAGGTTCTCTGCGGACTGTGTTTCCCAGAGTTTCCTGTGTACCGGGTAAGGGCAAATACTGCAGTAAGAAGCCTTATTAGTTGCCAAAAACTTTGGCATGTTACAGAGGGGTGGGAGGCAGTTGAATCTCAAGGGGGAATGGAGGGAAGGAGAGAGGCTTATTAGAATGTGGTGGTAGGAGGGCTTCCTGGAGGGGGTGGCTGAGTGGAGCCTGAAAGCACTAGGCTTTGGGGTCAGACTTTGGCTTGGAGCTTAGGTTTTCTTTTTTCCTTTTATCAGGTTTCATTTGTTTTCTCTCTCCCAGCCCTGCCTTTTCCCTCTTTACAGTGGGTGTCCATGTTGGGTTAAAAGTGGGGGCATAAGGTGGCATAAAGTACCATCGTCCCTTCCCCCGTTGCTAAAAGAAATTAGGCAATGAGGTTTGCCTAAAATAGGAGGCGGTGTCTACAGGTTGCAGAGATCTGGTCCTCTCCCAGAGCTCACTCTGGTCCCAGTGGGAAGCAGGTCAGAAACCCCCTGGGGACCAGTGAGGTAGGGTGTGATCTGGGCACCTGATTCTGAATGGGCAGGGGAAGGCTGCTGGGGCATAAGGTTGCTTGAAACCACTCCCAAGAGACAAGAACAGGTTTGTCTAAAAAGATTTCTGTGTGTGTGTGTGTGTGTTTCCTGTGGTCTTTTGTTTCTTCCATGCCAGAAAAATTGCTTGTTCTGGAATAGTTACTTGCTATTTTCCTCTCCTTCTCTTTTCTCTTTCTTGAAAGGCATAAAATCCCTTTTTGCCCTAATTATGGGGGCCAGTGGAGACATTTCCCTAAGGCCTGGTGGGGTGGGTGGGGGTTGGGGGAGGCGTTAAGTGCCTCCTCTCCTCCTGGGCTCAGAGCCTTTGAGAGGTGATGTCACTCCTGGCTTCAGCTCCACCGGGAGGGTGGAGCCGCTTTAAGTCTCTACCTGTGGCTCATGGTGGGTTCCAATAAAACCTCATTAACCGAGATTGGTGGAGAGAGAGATGAGAAAGGAGGGAGGCCTGGAAAGAATTAGTGAAAAGCTTGAGTTTTGTAGTATTTTATAGAGGAATGTTTCCTATTGCAGAGTTTCGGATTCTGAAATCCCTTGGGAATGAGGTATCCTTGGCATCCAGGTTTTTTTAGTGAGCTAAGAATCCATATTGACCTCAAAAGTATTCTTACTTTGGGCAGGACTCTCTACAATATTTATTTTCTTTCCTATATTAACAGAAGAATACCGGGGCACCTGGGTGGCTCAGCTGATTAAGTGTCCGGCTTCGGCCCAGGACATGATCTCACGACTCATGAGTTCGAGCCCCATATCGGCTCTCTGCTGTCAGCACAGAGCCCACCAAAAAAAAAAAAAAAAAAAAAAAAAACTACTAAGCATAATTTAATCTCTAGATGCCAGGGTCTTCTTCATGGTAGTCACTGTGTTAAGCATTTCTGTCCTGGGTTTGTTGCGCTCCGAAGNAATACCGGGGCACCTGGGTGGCTCAGCTGATTAAGTGTCCGGCTTCGGCCCAGGACATGATCTCACGACTCATGAGTTCGAGCCCCATATCGGCTCAAAAAAAAAAAAAAAAAACCCACCAAAAAAAAAAAAAAAAAAAAAAAAGACTACTAAGCATAATTTAATCTCTAGATGCCAGGGTCTTCTTCATGGTAGTCACTGTGTTAAGCATTTCTGTCCTGGGTTTGTTGCGCTCCGAAGGGCACTTTGCCCCTGTGCTGGGTGCCCCCAGGTTGGTATCTTTTGAATTCTGGTTTGCTCTGTTTCTCCCCCCCATCCCTGACAGTAGCCAAAAATGACAATTGTGGGCCTAAGTGTAGCAGGCAGCTTTTCTGTTCTAATTTGCACTGCTCTCCAGCAGTACGAAGAAACTAATCAGATCTGTTAGAATGATTCCTAAGAAGAGAGTTTTCAGTGCTGAGTGAGAGTTTCACTTGTGAGTAATGCTCATGATCTGTGTGGAGTCGTGCTTCCATGGACCATGCTGGAACCTCAGCAGTATCCCTGATAGTACCTAGGATAACAAGGCTGTCAAAGGACATGCCTACAGGCTCCCTCAGTGAACAGGTGTGGATGACCTCTGCGAGGAGGCCCCTGATGACCCTGTGTTCTGAGTTTGTCTGCCTGGCTTGACTTGGAAGAGACTTGCCAGTCACAGGTAGCCTGGACCTGGTGAGGCTAACTTGCTGTAAATCCCATTTGGAAGGGCCTTTACTCTTAGCTTGGGTTCTCTCTCCATTGCTTCACCATGTTTTATTTGGGCTGAAGTGCATCTTTCCTCGTGCGCCCATACTGTTTGGCAGCCCAGAAACAGCTTTGGATTAAGTAGAGCTCCAGGACCAGGTCTCAACTCTGCCACTAATTTACCATTTAACCTTGAGTGAGTCACTTCACTTCCAAATCTTGATGTCCTCTGTAAAGCGGACATCATACCTGTTCTCCTTGTCCTTTGTCATATGCATATTCATTTCATAATGAGTGCTTGAAAGTGTTTGGAAACGAAAGTGCCAGAGGAAAAGTTAGCTATCGATATAATTAGAGGCACCTTTAATTGAGTGCCTATTATTGAGTGCTCAGTGCTTTTCTTACATTCTTATCTCATCTTTAAGCCAAACCTTTACGTTGTATGTCATTGCCCTCATTTTGTGGATGAGGCCTATAGAAGTAAGCCCCTCTGAGGGGCCAGTGTCCAAGAAACAGGATCTGTACATATGCGTGGGCATATGTGTATGGCATTAATGAATTGATGGGCTGTCAAGTCTCCCCAGTGAGGCTGGCTGACACTTGTGAGGCCCTATGGGTATTTGCTGTTCCATCCTGGAGAACCATGGGTGTGCATATTTTGGATGGAGAGGGCATTGGGCTGGACCGAGCTGGCCTGAACCATGCCTTTAGGTGAACCCTGAGCATTGGCCACATCCTGGGCTTGGGTTGGGTTCACTCAG